TCTTCCCCATTCCAACATGAGCCTCAGCCCTATCGCCGCCTCTCTCTCCGCCTCCTCCCACCGCTCCATCCCCAGATAAACCTGCGCCAGAACCACATGCGGCTCTCCAATGAATGGATTCTTCTCACAGCTCCTCAACAGCTTCTCCGTCTTCTCCCCTCCGTCTCCGCCGCCGGCCACCGCCTCCCAGTACAAGTCCCTCGCTGTTCTCTGATCGTCAGCGTCCAGAACCCTAGTGCAGCTCTCGAACACCGGCGGAATTACCAGGTCTATATCCTCGTCTTCTTCTGCAACTCTTCTTCCTTCTCTCCTCTTCTCCTCCATGTATATCTCTTCTTCCTTCACCATTAGATTATAGATCGCCCCCATCCGTGAAATAGAATTCATCCATAACCCAGGTCTGGCGTCCCCCGGCCACAGAGCGCCGGAAACATTGTTTCCGGAGAATTCAAGCCGGCCGTTTTCGTTGTTAAAGAGTCGATCCTGGAACCCGAACAACTGGTCGCTGAAATCCGCCATGGTCATTAGTAAAAACGCCGCGATCACCCGGCGTGAAACCAGAACGTCTTCCCCGGTTCTTATGTGCTTAACATAAATCCCCTGTGGCGGAACCAGGGCGTTGATCTTCTGACGCCAGGGCTCTTCGATCCCACGGTAGGCCGAATCGGCGGAGGCGATGAGATGATCGGTGAGCTCTGCGTCGGAGTAACGGAATAGGAGGAAATCGTGGATGATTTGTTGGCGGGGGACGATGCAGAAGAGGTGGACGAGGCGCTCGGCGGAGGGGCCGAGAGAGAGGCTGAGGGCGTCGCGAGAGGTGGCGCCGGGTTCGAAGATGGCGAGGTTAACATAGGAGTTGGAGTACGCGGAGTGGTAGAGGCCGCAACGGGCCACGGATAGGGGAGCGCCCCATAGGGTTAAGATGCGGTGGACACCAATAAGGTGGGCGAGGAAGGTGCCGTGCTTGTGCCAGCACTCCCCGGCGCCGGCTGCGCGGAGTGCGGAGAGGAGTGTGGAAAGGGCGGGGTCGGAAGGGACGGCGTCGGCCTCGTCGCGTAGGAACGGGCGAGCTGCGGCGAGAAGGGAAGCGAGATC